TTTTTTTTTTTTTTTTTTTTTTTTAAGTCTGTTCCTTTACTTTGGTTTCATTGTCATCTCTTATCAGGTTGAGAAAAATTATAATGAGTGCTCTAGTTCGTTGACTTGGCATAAGGAAAGATTGAGAGAGCTCGAAACTAAGATTTCTTCATTACAAGAGGTATGAGCATGGGATAGATCACTTGTTACCTTATCATTTTTTGGTGCTTTATCACATATACTTTTTTTTTGTTTGTGTTCAAAGGAGCTCAGCTCGTGCAAAGATGCAGCAGCGACCACGGAAGAGCAATACAATGCTGAACTTTCCACTGTGAGTTTTCGAATTATTTTGTTTTCAGACCTTGACGGAGAGTTAACTTTATAGATGTTTTTCAGGCATTTCATGTTTTTAACGTACATATCCCTAGTTGTTGTTTAGTTCAATCTAATCGATTACTTGGCTGTTGACCTAGGCGAACAAGCTTGTTGATCTCTACAAGGAAAGTTCGGAGGAATGGTCCAGGAAGGCGGGTGAACTTGAGGGTGTCGTTAAGGCCTTAGAGGTAAGTTTGCTCTAACAATTTAGAGGGAATTGATTGTATCTTTTGTGTCTGTATGCTCACCAGCTGAGTTCATATTATGACTAATCAGGCACGCTTGATCCAAGAGGAGAGTGAGTACAATGATAGACTTGAGAAAGAAATGTCCACAAACCAGCAGTTTGTGAAGGTACTGAGACCCTTTTGTCGATTATTATAACATCTGTTGCCTGGCTCTGGTAACTTCTTGTGTGGTGGCATCCTTTCAACTTATACTGAGAGTGTTGCCTGTAGGAAAAATTGCTGTCACGTTATTGCTTTGATTAACCTTATAATCAGATATGTTAACTCGAATATACTTCGATTATTTTCTAATATAATTTAGTTTTCCCTGTCGTCAAATAATAGGAGTATAATTTCAATAATCTTAATTTCAATAATGTTTTTTTCAGAAGTTATTTCTTCAATAGTTGGTATACTCTTTGGATCTACAAGTTCTCTTCTGTTGTGTATTTTAATTTATTTTCTAGAAAGGTAATTACTTTTTTTTTTTTTGTAATTTCAATTTCAATTTCAGGAGAACGAAGACCTTAAACAAAAACTTGAGAAGCTTGAAGCAGAAATTGAGAAATCTAGGAAAACGAATGAGCTAACGCTTTTACCTCTCAGCAGTTTCACAGGGTATAATTCACGCAAAGGCTTAAAAAAACAGTTTTTTTTGTGTGTTCCTGCCATCTATTTTTCCTACATTTGCTTCTGAAATAGAGCCAAAACAAGTTAAAGTAGTGATTAGTGATATTAGTTGCTTCAAGAGATGCACTTTCAATACAGATTCTATATTATCGCCTATGATCTTCTTATACTACCAACCTGTAGATTTTTGTACCACAACATAAGGAAGTTTCTAATTTCTAGCTGTCGCTAGAAAATTTATAGTAGTTTTAAGACTTTACTGGGGTTTACAGTGAAGTGCTTTTCATAAGAGTGTTTGATCCATGTAAGTTCGTTATAGTGGTATGTGAATATGGTGTTTGATTTCCCTAGACCCTAGTGTTCATGTAACGATAAAATTTTAAGATGTTTCTTTTGAAACTCTTTTTCCCCAGAGGGGCAGACGATTCAGGGACCAGAAACATGATAAGAGGAAAGCCATGCAATAATTCTAAGGTTCCTACCGGTGTGTCAGGAACGGCGCTGGCAGCTTCGCTCTTACGTGATGGGTGGAGTGTAAGTTTCTGTTCTTACTATATTAGTCTAGTTCATAAGCCTTTCAATTCTATTAACTGTGTATATATCACATTTTTTCGTTTCTGTAGTTGGCCAAAATTTATGAAAAGTATCAAGAGGCTGTTGATGCAATGAGACATGAGCAATTAGGTCGAAAGGAAGCTGAGTTGATACTACAACGGGTATAAACTGCATGACCCTGTGTGTTAAGATGTTAATCTTATGTACCCTTGTTTTGTCTCTTTTTGTTATTATTTCGCTACTACTTTTTCCAACTTCATTTCCTGTAAACTTGTGCAAGACTCTTGGGTTTGATGGGTCAATACCCGATGGAAACATCAAAAGTTTCCTTCTCGTCAGAGCTGTGTCTGAATTTGATCGTTTAACATGTTGGCCTTGAATCCTGCGTTTTAGGTTTTATCCGAATTAGAAGAGAAAGCTGAGTTTATCCAAGAGGAAAGAGGTATGATTCAATTCTGTGCTCCCAAAGATTTTTTTCATCTGTGCAGATTTTTTTATTTTTTATCTGTGATAAAATTATGTCAGAGCATCTTGTAAGTTTCTTTCTTTTTCTTGAAGTCATGTTTTGTGTTAGAACTTACGTGTGAAACATTATGTGGATGATGACTAATACTTGTCCACTTGTTGGGATGAATCTCAGTTGAAGTTTAAAGATATAAATGGCCTAGTTGAGCAGAATGTTAAGCTCCGAAACCTTGTTCGTAGTCTCTCAGAGTAGATTGAAAGTAGGGAAATGGAGCTGAAGGTATGACTAATTTTCCAGTTCTTGCTTCAGTGCTGTGACGTTTTAAAAAGTATTTTTGGAATATCAGGAAATGTTTGAGGCAGACCTGAAGAAAAAGACTGATGAAGCTTCTTCCAAAGTAGCCATCGTGCTCAAAAGAGCCGAAGAGCAGGGTCAAATGATTGAATCACTGCACTCATCTGTTAGTATTTCCACCCTTCGATTCTCCTCTCAGTTGCACTTGCTTAAATGATCTTGGATTTCAAATCATTAATATTCTTTTCAGGTTGCAATGTATAAACGACTTTATGAAGAGGAACAGAAACGTTATGCATCTAATTCTCGTTCTTCAGATTTGCCTTCAGGTTCGAGCTCTACATAGTGACTATGTGTTCCTGCATACCCTCAATTATTGACTTTACTGATAAATGAAAGTTTGAGCTGATCTTTGAATTATAATCCTTACCACAATCTTATTCCAAATGGCTGAGTGGGTACGCAAGAAATATTGACATAGCCGGCACAAATCTCAAATTTAAAATTAGGCTAGGAGGCATCTGGATTTGAATATCTACCGAGTTTCTAAGATTTGGATGCATCTGGAGTCTTAAGTTTGCTCACGATGCGTTACCTGTTTTCATGTATCACAATTATCAGTAATGAAAATTGGTGCCGTATCTGTCAAACATATTTCAGTTGAAAGCCATCTTAAAAATCTCATTTGTTTCCTGAAAAGTGAAGCCGCATCACGTGCTGTTGCTTGGTTTGCTCATAAATTGGAATACCAAGTTCAGTTGTATAAGCTTTCAAATGGCTTGGCTGAGATGCAATTTGTTTGCTGTAGTGCCAGGAAGGAGTAACTTTTTACATCTGCTTGAGGATTCACAGGTATTTTGTTTCCTTACTCGTCTTTATTGTTCTCTCTTCCTGCGCATCGATGTTGTTGTTTGAGACTCATTTGTTGACTGGATTGCTTGTTCCAGGAAGCTACGAAAAGAGCCCAAGAAAAAACTTTTGAACGCATCCGAAGTCTAGAAGAAGATTTAGCGAAGGCTAGGAGTGAGATAATAGTGATAAGGTCTGAACGGGATAAGTTGGCCATGGAGGCAAATTTTGTTAGGGAAAAACTAGAAGGCATCATGAAAGAATCTGAACGCAAGGTGATCTATAATATTTGTCGGAAATTTATATCATCAACTGCTTGTGTGGATTGTCCTTTCTTCATCTTATATATATCTTATATCAGAGAGAAGAAGTGAACGGTGTTTTGGCAAGAAACATAGAATTCTCGCAGCTGATCATCGACCACCAAAGGAAGTTACGCGAGAGTTCTGAGTCTCTGCATGCAGCGGAAGAGATTTCTAGAAAATTATCAATGGAGGTAGCATCTCAATCGCACACGTTAACTTTATGATTTTCGGTGCTTTAAGACAAATAGTAATCTGTTTATAGGTTTCCATTCTAAAACAAGAAAAAGACGTGTTATCCAATGCTGAAAAACGTGCTTCTGATGAAGTTTCTGCTCTATCTCAGAGAGTTTATCGTCTTCAGGTTGGAAGCATGAGAGTAGTGCAAATTCTATTTTAAGTTGTGCATGTTCATTTTCTGTTGGCTAACATGATTTTATGCAGGCTACCTTGGATACTATACAGAGTGCAGAGGAAGTTCGTGAGGTAACAAAACCACCTATGATTTTAGTTTACTAATTCGTTACGGGGAGGTAATACTGATTAAAATTTGATATCTTTACCAAAAAATCTCAGGAAGCAAGAGCTGCCGAGAGAAGGAAACAAGAGGAGCATATCAAGCAACTTGAGGTCTGTAGCATATTTAGTAATTCTTTTGTTGGTGCATTCCTTTTGTAGAAAATTTACTGAATTTTTGGACGGTACTGTTTTCACAGAGAGAATGGGCTGAAGCTAAAAAAGAATTGCAAGAAGAAAGGAGCAATTCGCGAAATAGCACTTCGGATCGCAATCAAACTTTGAACAATGCTGTTATGCAGGTCGAACAAATGGGAAAAGAATTGGCTCATGCCTTGAAGGCTGTCTCGGCAGCAGAGTCAAGGGCTTCTGTGGCTGAGGTACTTTTTGAAGTCTATTTTACGTTCCTTAATAATAGCCCAGGTCTGATGAGCAATCCCATACTGCATTGGGGCCTCCGTTTACTATGGCCAGTTCCTAGGTTGCATTCTCTAGATTTTTTTAGGGGGACCTTTCCTGATTGCCTTTCTTCTGGTGGCTACTTTTAACATCTGATTTGGTTTGTGCGAACTGGTTTTACTAGTTCTGGATATGTTCAATAACCACAAGATTGCACATTATCAATCCCCTAGATTTTGCATCTGTCAGCAATCAATACATATATTCTTATGCTAAGTTTTGGCTGGTTATTGTCGTTGATTATTTGTTTAAATGTGTAAAATTAGGCTAGACTTTCTGATTTGGAGAAGAAGATAAGGTCTTCAGATCCTAAGGTACACTTTTTAATTTTCTTGATAATTGTGGGGTTACTTCAAACGGCAACACCTGGATGGAACTTGCACTTAATAATATGCTTTTGTAATGAATGTTGTTTTCGCACTTCTAGGGCCTTGATATGGACAGTGGAGTCGTCTCTCTTTCTGATAATGAGGTCAGTGAAGTCCTTCAGCAATAATTTTTATGAGTTTTTAACTTCCGTCATTGTAGTATTGTTCACATTTCTTGGTCGCATCTTATTGTAAAGACTGCAAAATGGTTATTGTAAAAGATGTTGATTTTTGTTCGATAAGGTTAAAACTTTCTTGAACCGGAACATACGTCTCAGATAGGAGTTAGGATTTGCATTATGTATTACCCAGCTTAGCTGGGCCAGCTAGTTGAATAAGCAGATTTTGAGACTTTCGTTTAAGCAATTATTTTGAGTTAGTTGGATTAATTTTTAAGCTGATGGCTATTTATAGGCTGAAAAGAGACAGGAATCGTTGGAAGCAGAGCTTGTTTCTCTTAGGGAAAGGGTGTCCGAACTTGAAAACGACTGTCTACAGAAATCTGAGCAGATAGCCAATGCTGCTGCAGGAAAAGAAGATGCTCTTGTATGAGCATCAGCTGAAATTGCAAGTCTGAGAGAAGAAAACTTAGTTAAAAGGTACAATGATTTATTATGTGGCAAATGTATCTTTTGACCCACACGCATACACATGTTCGTTTTTAAATTGACATCATAGTTCGTCTTTAAATTGACATCATAGAATTGAATGCAGTTCCCAAATTGAAGCAATGAATATCCAAATGTCCACTTTGAAGGATGACTTGGAGAAGGAACATGAGAAATGGCGTGTTGTGAAATTATGAAAGACAGGTTTGTGAAGGCTCACTATTTTAAGAAACCTATTGACCATTATGCATATTCGTCGTTGGCTATAACGTTGGTTTTTTATTGGATAATTCTTGAAACTGATACTTCATTAACCATCTTGTTTCTCCATGTCATGAAGCAGTGGTTTCTGAAAACTCTATTTAGCACCTTTCTCTTATAACACTTCAGATATTTTTGTAAAATGCTCGTTAGGTTACTTCTATATTTTGATTTTCTTCTGCTTCATTCCGCAGACATTTTATGACCTATATTGCTTCTCTACTTTCTGGAACGCAGGTTATTCTGCAGTCTGAAACTATTCAAGAGCTGACGAAAACATCGCAGGCCTTGGCTTCCCTTCAAGAGGAGGCATCTGAACTGCGTAAATTGGCTGATTCAAGGGGATCGGAAATTGTAATTTCTACTCCTATAAAACTTCAATCTTATTTTAAATTTTCCACAGTTATTGTCGGGAAACATAAACTAAAGTGCTGATTCCAGAAACGATTTAATCTATCTTTTATGTTTTTTTTTCAGTCCGAGCATAACTCCAAGTGGAGTGAAGAGAAATGTATGCTAGAGCAGCAAAAGAATCAAGCGGAGAAGATGTATAATGAACTTAATGAACAGGTGGCCACTGCTCTCTGACTTTTACTTTTTCGCAATCATATTGTTTTTGATGCATATGACATAAGCAATACGAATTTGGCACCTCTCGTCGATTATGTTATTTAGTGTGTTCCTATTACTATCATATATGATCAGAGGATTATGTAGATTTCAGTTGATGTTCTTGTTACGAATATTCCACTCCTCTTAATCCCTCTCTGCATCAGAACAAACTACTCCATAGCCGACTTGAGGCTATGCATCTTCGCTCAGCTGGGAAAGATAGCCGTTCTGGAAACCTATCATCTGGAAGCACAGAATCAGATCAACTTGGAGATTCTGGTTTGCAAAGTGTAGTCAATTATTGCGCAAAACAAAGGAAATTGTAAGAGTAGTTCCACATTTAGGATTACTTTTCTTTCTGCCTCGTCTGCGTACTGTAACTAAGTTTTGTGCATCTTTTTTTGACAGGCTGAAACAGAGATCTCACTTATGAGACAGGAAAAATTACGGTTGCAATCGCAAGTAAGTTGTCTTTTATCATTATTCTAGTTTTGCTACTACATGCAACAAGAAAACTCTTATATATTTTTAGAGTTTTGGCTGCGTTATGAATTTTCTTGCAACATTGTTATTGTCTAGCTTGAGAGTGCCTTGAAGATGGCAGAATCTGCCCGGGGTTCACTTAATGCTGAGCGTGCCAGCACAAGGGCCTCATTATTGACTGAGGATGAAATCAAATCTCTTCAGCTCCAGGTAAAGTTGAATGATACGAACTAATACTCTTGTTTTTTTTAAAAAAAAAACACAATCGTGTTTCTTCAGTTCCTCAATTCCATACATTATGCTTGGAGTTCGTTTTTTTATTCCCTAGCCAAGGTTGGAGTGAAACTATTTACTGTAGCTGACTTCAAAGTTCTCCTTGCAGGTTAGTGAGGTGAACTTGCTCCGTGAAAGCAACATGCAACTCAGGGAAGAAAACAAACACAAATTTTGAGGAGTGCCAGGTTCGTGTTGGAACTTTCAGGATAATTTCTTCTGCTTTATATGGCTCGAGTGACTAAACTCACTTGCACCCTGATCCTCCTGACTGTCTTCGAAAGAGCTGATAATTTTTTTTATTTGAAATTTCAGAGATTGCGTAAGGTAGCTCAAAAGGCTAAGACGGATTCCGAAAACTTGGAAAATCTATTGAAGCAAAAGCAAACCGAGTTAGACTTGTGTGTAAGAGAGATAGAAAGGCTGAGGAAGGAGTCAGATCTGGAAAAGAAGAGGGTTGATGAGGTAAGCCATTTCAAACTAAAAGCTATATATATTTATTTACGCATACTTACAACTGTTTTCTTCTTTTTTGCAGTTGCGGGAGACGTATAAAAACATTGATGTTGCTGACTACAATCGCCTCAAAGATGAAGTGCGGAAATTCGAGGTATGCCTCTACAGTTAATGTGACATTGTTGGAAGTGCTGCAGTAGTCATGTTCATGTTTTCTTCATAGTGTGCACGGTGTGGATATCTCTATACGTTCCCTAGCTATGTTGCTGTGCAACAAGTGACAATGTCAATTCATCAAATGCTACTATTGTGTGCTGAAGGTCGTTATTTTGGGACTGTATCTAGAAAGTTACTTATCATCGTATTTCCTAATTAATGAAACTGTCTAGGAGGCCTCTTTGTCTCCTTTTATTTCTTACCTTTAACGCTAATGGCATTTCGATCATATTCTAGTGTAGGATAACTGTCTTTTTAACTGGTGAGATTTTCGTGTGAACTATCTGTTGTTAGTGTACGAATGACGCTGATGCTATAAACTGTGTTGATATGACCAGGAGAAACTGAAAGCGAAAGATGATCATCTTGAAGGTTTCAAGAAGCTTCTGTTAGAAAAGCAGAATAAGATATCACTACTAGAGAAGGATCTAACAAACTGCAAAAACGAACTGAGTTAGAGGGAGAAGGATCTAACAAAATGCAAATCAGAACTGAGTGGGAAGGAGAAGAACTTAGACGCTGCTCAGCAAGCACAGGTAGAATGAGAAATATCTCTCTTGATGGAAACTTGGATGTTAAATGTAGAATGAGAACTACCCCCATGTAGATCTGCTAATAATATTTCTGTACTTGTCAGGCGACTATGGAGTCAGAAACTGAGAAGTTGAAAGCAGAGATCGCCAGGATCAAGAGATCTTATACTTTCATGAAGAAAAAGCTCGACAAAGAAAAGGAAGACTTAAACAGTGATAATCAGTCGCTCTCTAAACAGTTAGAGGAAGCCAAAGAGGGTAATTATCATTATTTTTTCAAATCATAATATCTGGGTACATTTCTTTTGGTATTTGCTCATGTTATCTATTGGTGCCAAAAGCTGGAAAGAGAACAACGACCGACGCTACGGTGGAGCAAGTCGCTAAGGAGAGAGATGAAAAAGAACAAAAAATTCAGGTATTATTAGACAAATCGTATTTTTTAGTTTGTAGCTCCTGAGTTCTGCTTCATGTGTTTCTGCGTCTTTTTTCTTAAGACACGTGGACTTTTGCTGCAGATATTGGATAAGTATCTGAAGAAAAAGGATGAGGAATTAACAAAAGAGAAAACAGAACGCAAGTCTGTTGAGAAGGTATTTAAAGACGCCTTGGCCAAGATTAAAAAGGTTCGGTTCTCTCCAGCCTCACTTCTGTGTCTTGTCGCATTTATAGAAACTTGGTTCTTCCAAACTATCCACATAAAAAACTTGTCGCATTTTTTTGGTTACTAATAAGTTATGATAAGTTTGTATTTTTATTTATGTTTAGATCTAAAACTTAACTTTAAGATAAGTTTAAAAATATTTGAACACTAAAAATTGGCATATTATTATTATGTAAAATGACAATAATAGTTTTTTAAATTTACATGTATATATTCATATCGGATCTTTAAATAATATTATAGATGGAAAAATGATATTCAAATTAAATAGAACGTATAATCTGCATAAAAATTAAAATTATTATCATTCATAAAATATGAAAAGTATTAATTACCATACAGAATACTCTATTTTTAGTTTAAATTAAAGGTCAATAGAAAAGACTTGTAAATATATTGAAATGCAAGGGCAGAATCCTAAATTTTTTAAATAGGATTCTGCTTTAATAGTATAGATGAAACACACAATTTCTTTATTAATAAAGCATAAAATTATAAAACTTTACTAAACCACTTGATCCTCCATTGCCTATATATCTTTCTATACAATTAATAAAACACAACGTTTAATCTTATTATTAAACCATACAATTGCAAACCATTATTACGAAACCAAAAAAGTTTGAAATAATCCTCGTTTCACCCTTAATATTATCAAACTATGCCACTGACTTTTTATAGCATCACTTTAAAAGAAATAGAAAACCAGCGAAATTGTAGTTTTTTTTTTTTTACGACAAACGGTTGTTACATCAGTCAAACTAGAGGTGGTCTGGGAATTCAAACCATGTGCAAAATTGTAGTTTCATAGTAAACCAAATATAGCCTGATTCATAACTCAATTCAATAATTTAGCAATTTTATATGTATTTCCAAACCACTAATTTCTCGGTTTAGTGGTAACGACAGAATCAAATCCAACCTTTTGAAAATTCAATGGACTACTTTTTATACCAAGTTTGTATATCATACTAATTTTTGGTTCCTATTTTTGTTACATTTGTGTGTTTCTCGGTTTTTCTTCATAATATTTACAAACCTTTTTTAATAATATTTTTGTATTATATCCAAAATATATTTAAAATTCTTAAATTGATTGGTTAACATAAGAAGATATTTTATGTCCATGCACCAAATCTAAACTTATTACTTCGTAGCGCAATTAAATTATTTAAAACATCTTTCCTATTTTAAAGCCATTATCATAACTAAAAGGATAGAAATCTTACTAACAATGACTTTCGTATTATTGATTTAGCTAATAAAATGTATATATTGTTACTTCAAGATTCAAATCCAATTAATTGACACACAATAGTCCTTGCAAATCATGTTTGACTTACCTTTTATTCTTTTAACAATAAACTAGATTTTGAACCCGCACGTCCGTGCGGGTAATTTTTCATTTTCTAAATATAAAAATTTAATATATGTTAACAATTTTATTTTCTGTAAAATTTATTACATAATTTATGAATGTTTAATCTTTTTAAAAGGTAAATAATATTTTAGTCACTCAAATGGTGAATGATATTTGATTTATTTATCTAAATGATTTTTAAAAAAAAAAATATATATTAGTTTACCAATTTAATATAATTTTATATGTAATTAATTTATTATTTCTGTTTTAATATAGTATAGACTATACTTATAAAATTTATAAAATTGGCATATAGTATATTATATTTTGTTTATAATAAAATTTTAATTAAGATTAATGTATAGTAATATTATACTAGTAATTACTAAATTAATCAGTTAATTAAAAAAATATTTAAATTTTAAAAAGATTTTGTTAGATTTTTCTCAACAGATTTTTTATTACTAAAACTAAAATTTAAAATTACAGTTAAAATAGATTTGTTATTAATATCTTTATAATTATTTAGAAATGTTAAACTTATGTAAATAATCAAAACAATGTAACTAAATATATGGACCTAGTATGACTATTCTATAGTAGATAAAAATGATACTTCTGTTTTAATAGAGAAGAAGAATGTATATTTATTTTACAGAACAATAAAAGAATGTATATTAAACCTAATGGGATAAATACCTTAAACTATGCATTTCTATGGCCCAAATTATAATTAACTTTTCAATTGTGTTTTTAATGATTGTCATTAATTTTTTTCTGAGAAAAAATATTAAAAATCTATAGTTACATGTTTTCAAGGTATTTTTACTATATTTAGTAACAACATAAAATCCACTTGGTTAATATAGATTTCGTAATACCATTTTAAACAATATTGTACATTATATTAAATAAAATGAACATTTATAATTTAGTTAGGTAATTATGTATTTTTAATCTTTATTTTTATTTAATAATAAATGTAATAAAAAATCCGCACCCAATACCTTATTAGCTCACATGTTCCCTATCTCTTTCTCAGGAGAAAACAAAAGTGGATGAAGAGCTGGTTAAGCTCGAGAGGTATCAGACGGCATTGGCTAATCTCTCTGAAGAAATGGACAAACTGAAGCAAGCGGATGGAAATCTTCCAGAGGTAACAAGTTTTTATATTTCTCTTGTTGTGGATAATATATAGTTTACGTTTTTTTTTTCTTCGCATTTTGTAAATACATATACATATGCATCCACATATATTATTATCATGTTCACTCATTAAATGTGTTCGAAACCCTATTTTTTTCTTCATTAGGGTACTTCAGCTGTCCAAGTTCTCTCTGGAAGCGTATTGAATGACCAAGCCGCTGCCTATTTATCAGCGGTTGACTCTTTTGAACGCATGGCTCGTACTATTGTCCTCAATTCTCAAGGCAGCACCAAATCTACCGATATGGTTACTGAAGCTTCCCCTGCTACAGTTGAGCCTTCAGGCATTGGCAGATCTTCTTCGTCAAAAGCACCGGTGGCAACTACCCAGCAGCAACCCAAAGTGAAGAGATTGACTTTGCAGAAACCAAACGCTGAACTCCGCAGAGGGAGGATTATTCGTCCCCAGCTTGGCAAACTAGAGGAACCTCCTCAAGTTGATGCTGAGATGCCAGAAGCTGAAGGAGCTGGTGGTGAAGGAAAACAGTCTTCCTCCCATGTTACAGAGAGCCAAGGAACCACAATTGTTCCGCCTGTTGAGACACAAGTCCGTAAACGCCAAGCTGAGTCGTTGGCTTCTGAGCCACAGCAAGGGACTCAAGGGGAAACCAGTTCCGAGATTGCACCACCTGCGTCGAAGAAGCCAAAAGGATCCGAGTCACAACCTGATACTGCTGAAGGTCAAGAACCTCTCCAAAGAGCCAGAGATGGATGAAGCAATGGATGCTACTACTGCCGCCGAGGATGACAATGAAGAAACAGAAGCAGAGTCTGCAGATGAGGAAACTGTGGAAGAAGCACAACAAGAAACTGAAGCTGAAGAAGGGCAGGATAAAGCTGATGATGAACCAGTAGAAGAAAATCCATCAACCGAGACAGAAACTATCCCTACCGAAGAAGAGTTTAAGGATCAGACCGAACAAGAGAACCAAGATCCTCCGACAGATGTGGAATTTGATAAAGAAGAAGGAGAACTCGATCTAGATACACTGGAAGATCTTGAAGAGACTACTGATGTAGCTACCACACCCATGCAGTCACCTATTAGGATGGAGACAACAATGGAAGAAGCTGAAACAACCATTGAACCACCACTAGAAGATGTTAAAAACGATTAAGGAGGTGATGTAGTTCCTGAAGAAGCCTCTGATAAACCCAACGATGGTAATAATCAACAAGTAGCAGAAACCGATCTCAAGCCAGAGACCACAGTAGCTACAACAACCTCTGGATCTGCCACTCCACCCACTTCCTCTGCTCCAGAAACTGGTGAAACGAAGAGAAACAAATCTCAAGTTGCAGAGCCCACAGTCGCTAAAAGTGTCTCAGCATCTGCAGGTGGTGCAAGTAGCGAAACTCCAGAAACTACTGAAGAAACGAAAAGAGCAGCAGCGTCGCCAAGTAGAACAATTAACATAGCTGATAAAGCAAAGGAGAAAGCAGCAATAAGACAAGCCGGAGTAGCTGCTGCTACTCTAGGAGGAGGAACCCGAACTCCTTCACCAGCCAACCGAGCTCCTTCACCAGTCCCTCCTAGAGGTCGTGGTCGAATTTTAAACATTCGAGGAGGCAATAATCGACTGATTACTCGTGGTGGCCGAACCCAACGTGGTGGACATGGACCTCCCCCGAGCCAGCCTTGATCTCTTCTGGCCTATTGTTTCATCATTTTCCATCTTTCCTATGCCTTACAAGAGTTAGTCTCCTTGAAGAGATCGTAGAGAACTCAGGTCATTGTCAACTCCTTTTCTACTTTGTTTTGTTGGTATGATTTTCAGAGATTTTCACTATAAAACCAAATTCTATCATTGCCAATGATTACAAATTTGCAACATTAACAACAAAATAACAGAAGAAGAAACCAATCACTTACAAAAATCAAAGCAATCCGAAACAATCGGACGGTTTATGGTGGGTGACTTGAAAAAACACAAACCAAAAAATAGAACAGCATCTTCTAGTCAGTTCACATCCCCTGTCAAGTCTGTGTTTCGATTCTCTTCGACTGTATTTTGATATCTCAACTGTTTGGAACTCAGCAACCAAGTAGCCTTCATCTTCTTTCTTCTGTGATCAAAAGCATAAACAATATATAGAAGAAGAAGAAGATGAAGATGATTACAAAGATCTAAAAAGGACCTTAGTAAACCTTAAGCTTCTTTTGTTATTCTCAAGTTGTTTATTCTTTTCATTGTTTTGTTGTGATATACCATACCAGTCTGTTATCAATGTCTCCTTTTCAGCATATTCTCCCCCAATGTGATTAGTCCCCTCGTTTAGTTTGTTTTATTGATCATTGAGAGATGCTGTGTTTTATGTGCAGGTCCAAGAGAACTGGGCGGTGCACGTGATCTTATAACTCAATACAAGCTGTTGCCACACCATGAGTTCTTTTGCAAGAGATCACTTCCTGAGATGCTCATTACCTTCACAATGTGGTGGGCGACACCAGATATTAGAAAGGGAGAAAGAATGCAACTGGATCAGCTTATTCCAAATGCAACGCATAACCGAGATGGAAATGCTCGCATCCAACCTTTTGTTCTAGATGAACTTAAGGAGGCTTTTGAACTTAATGATATACATCTCCTGTGAGAATCTTCTCTCTCTCTCTCTGGATTTAACTCTTCAATCTTTCTCATGGGTGCTGTGATTATATGATTCTGCTAATACTGAAAGCTGAATTTGAAAATGAGACACGCTCTGAGGCTTGTCTGAACTTCTGTAACGTTCAAATCTTTTACTAACCATGATAACTTGAATTACTTCCAAATATCTTCTGATGATAGTCGAGCTAGGTATGAGAATTTAATGATATCTCCATGTTTCTTCTTACAGGCAGAGAAGGAGGGTGCTCTTACCATTGCGTCAAAATCAAAAAAAAAAAAAAGCGAGTCAAAAGACAAGGACAGGAACAAGGAGAAAGATGGGGAACATAAGAAGCACAAGCACAGACATAAAGATAGGACCAAAGACAAGGATAAAGACAGGGATCGCGAGAGAAAGAAGGCAAAAAAAGTGGACACCATGATAAGGTAAGAGAACCCTCTGCTCTTGTTGGTTTCTATCTTTATATTTGATTCTCAAAAGACTTAGTAGTATTTCACTTTTAACTTTCAGAAAAGGAAGCACAACGGGAATGAAGATGTTGATGACGCTCAAAGGCAGAAAAAGAGCAAGGTAGTGGCTTATGTAGGGTAGTAGTAGTAGTAGTTCCCGTAACAAATTTTTTATTTTGGTCATTTTTTTCTCTGTAGCACAAGAGTTCAAAGGTTGATGAGATGGGCACACGATAAAAGGTTTGAGACTGAAGCGGTGGAGACACTCAGATTTTGTATTTTACACATCCAAGTAGATGGAGGTCTCATGTCAGTCCCATCACAAGATAATGTGATATATGTCTTAGTGACTGATATACTGAATACTGCTGATCTAGAGCATTGGAAGCTCAATATTTTTTTTTTTTAATTTGTCAGATATAAAAAAAAAAAACCATCGCTCATTGATCCTATATTTACTCAATTATAATAAACTGGCAAGACACTTGATCGGGTTTGAGTTTGTGTAAAACGTTGATATCAAATGGAATAGCAGCAAAAGATTAAAATCCTATCAGCAAAACATAGCAACGAAAAATTCTCAAATCTCAACACTCTTTTCCCCACCGCTCTGTATCACCGAACTAAGAAAATGCTTTTCATTTTCTGGCGAAAGTCTCTCTCCCTTGTGCTCACCCCCGCGGCAAAAAAACTACATACCCTGCTTCCACCTGAAAACAACAAGATCGATCATTTTGCTGCCTGCCGAATCCATAAAAGCATTATGTACTTCATAATAGGGGTTTAGGGAGCAAAGTACCTGGCAGTAGAAACACTCTCTTGAAGCTGTGCATTGCTGGAAATGACTGAGCCTTGAATAGAAGAACAACCGTCTCCTCCTATGGTGGCATGGGTCCATCACAACTGAATTAACCCCCTGCACTCACATTACATACAAACAGTTGAGTGTAACTTCGTTGGACATGTACACCAGCTGGGGTGAATAAAAGCTCTTGCGTTTACCTTCACATTGGAGCCTATGCGGCACTGTCTCCCAATCACAGATCTCTTGACACACTGCCATTTATCACCCGACTTGAGAGCCTTCTCCAAGCAAGCATACAAACAATGCGGTCCAACCCTGCAACCCCCAAAAAATTGTTAACTGGCGATCAAACCTCATAAAACCAAATGCACTCATAAACTGATCATCCAACTAACCAGCTGAGATATGGGAGTACATCCCGTTTCAGGCATTGAAAAGTAGGTTTTTGATCCCAACAAGACTGATGTGTAAGACAAAAAGAGCATATTGAGTTCCTGCAGATAAGATAAAACTAAACTCTGTTAGCAGGAACGAAGATCTGACCACCCTCTTGAAGGCATGCATATATCCATCTAGATTAAAAATGACGAGAATAATAAGAAACAGTAGTAACTTCTTATTAATATATATGAATCATCATAGAGTCAGGAGATAAACAGCATTGTAGGTCATTTAAGAGCATTACCTTTCCAGCCGCACAGACAGAGAATGCTCTTTTTCAATCGGGTCTCTTTCTTAATCTCAGCCACCTATTACAATCCAATAGGTTAAACCAACAACAAGTTCAAGCATTATCTTGCCACTAAGAAACAAAAAGGGAGAAGTCAGAGGGCGACCTGTGGCTGCTATATACAGTATATGTATAACAAGAATATGTCTTTGGCAGTTAAAGTGGTGTGCAATAGTCCTGAGAGCTCCAGCAGTTCCAACATTCTCTGGAACGGCAGCAACCTAAAGTAAGATATCCACCAGAGTATTGAATAATAATCCCCATAGCCTCACGACAAAGTAAAAAAAATAATAATGCGAAAAGCCTTCCACAGTGAGAAGAGCTGTTAAACCAATGGAGATACTATGGCTCTAATCAAAACTTAAAATTCAGTAACTTGTCATTCATGAAAAACTTAACATGATGTTCTGATGAAATTAATAATAAAAACCCTATACTAAACTAAAAATTAATAATAAAAACCCTATACAAAACTAAAAATTAATAATAAAAACCCTAAACCCTAGGTCAATCTCGTCGAATCTACTCCTCAACTTCAACCTCCTCTATCTCCAGAAGAACCAGATCTCGCGCCCCAGCCCCAGCCCCAGCCCCAGCCTCATCCTCCTCAACCTCATAATACCAGAACCCTTGTGCCCCAACCTCCTCAACCTCCTCTATCTCCATCTCCAGAAACACATGACCCAGATCTTGAACAGGCGCCGCCGCCGCCACCTCAACCTCCTCTATCTCCATCTCCAGAACCACATGATCCAGATCTTGAACAGACGCCGCCGTCACCTCAACCTCATCTCTCTGAACCTCAACAGGCGCCGCAACCTCAACCTCATCTTTCCGGCCCATTACAGGCCCAACAATCCTCTTAAACTTAAAGATTAAAATTAGAAATGAAGTAATATATAGAAACACATCTTGTGAAGTTTTTAGCCGTATGGTAGGAACAGCCATAGATAGGGTGAGACAGATGTCGAGGATGGAGGAGCAAGCGGCAAATAGATCGTTTTGACCGAAACAATATTTCACCACTGAACTGAGGTGAACGTACCACGCCATGAAGAACACAAGTCCAAATCCACTCCATCCATGGGCCTTCTCCATTTCCGAGGAGAAACGCACCAAAGTTACCGCCACCAACCAAGAGCATATACAGCGAACGAACAACGTAGTATTGGGGTAAACCCTATTTCCCTTCTCCACAACCCTGGTGACAAATCCTCTGAAACAATGAAAAAGAATGATGAAGAGAACATAGGGAGCTCCCACAAAGAAGAACACCTTCACCGTAAGTTCCTTCCGCTTCGGATCTCTTATAACCATCAAGAAGCCACTCAACAATGTTACCACAAGGGATAACAATGTGATGCCCAGTAAAACCCTTGCGCTTTCAATAGCCCACACCAAGGGATGGAGTATCAGCCCAAGAAGATACTCTACAGTTTCTAAGAAACTTTTGTCGTCTTTCATGGTAGCTAGACAGAATTAGGGTTTAGAGAAGCTCACGACAGAGAATAGAGAGGGAGATAGGGTTTCAGTTTTGAAAGAGAAGAGAGAGAGAGAGAGAGAGAGTTTCAGACATTAACGGTAAGAGGGAGCTCTGAATCTCCAACGGTTAAGAAGTATTAGCGATTCAGTTCTCTACTAGAGTAGTCAAAGTTTAGATCTTTAGCTTACTCCCTTAGTCAAAGTTAAGAAAATGCTTGGAGAGTAAGTATTCTAGAATGTTAAGGATTAGTGACGTGGCTAGGAGGGAGCAAAGGCACATGGGATGTTGGGTCATGAAGAATGTTTGGGGATGCATTAGCGATTCAGTTCTCTACCAGACTAGTCAAAGTTTAGATCTTTAGCTTAATCCCTTAGAGCTTTTTAGTATTCTTAAGGTAAACCCTTTTGATTATTATTCTTATTTCCGCATTAGGAGATGGCTACGGTTACGTCTCACCAATTCATCGGCTCTTTTGCTTCTCATTCACCTTTCAATTCCAAAGCTTCTCACTTCCCAAAGGACTCTCTCAACCTCCCCATCAAATTCAGACAAAACCGTTTCAAGATCGAAGCAACAACTGCTTCTCAAACTCCTGTTCTCGACACTCTCTTGTCTCCTTCCACCCCTTACAAGAAAAAAACAAGTAAAACTAATGCTTGCTTCCCCCTCATATACTATTAAAGAGCAACAACTGAATCAACTTTTTTTTAATTCAGATGAGGCATCACTGATATTGATTAGGCATGGAGAATCTCTATGGAACGAGAAGAATCTCTTCACTGGCTGTGTTGATGTTCCACTAACTGAGAAAGGTGTTGCTGAAGCTATCCAAGCAGGGAAGAGGATTAGCACCATTCCTGTTGATTTGATCTTCACTTCTTCTCTTATCCGTGCTCAGATGACTGCTATGCTCGCCATGACTCAGCACCGTTGCAAGAAGGTTCCAATCATTTTGCATGATGAGAGTGAGAAGGCGCAGACTTGGAGTCATGTTTTTAGTGAAGAGACTAGGAAACAATCTATCCCTGTCATAGCTGCTTGGCAACTCAATGAGAGAATGTAATAAACAGACAACAACTTCTCTTTGTGTTTTCTTTTATGTGAAGTTTCTGACATGTGTTGGTGTTGAGTTAGGTATGGGGAGTTACAGGGTTTGAACAAGGAAGAAACAGCGGAGAGATATGGGACGCAGCAAGTTCATGAGTGGCGTAGGAGTTATCACATTCCTCCTCCTAAAGGAGAGAGCCTGGAGATGTGTGCTGAGAGAGCTGTGGCTTACTTTGAAGACAAAGTAGTGACTCTAAAAAGATTCGTTTCGTTTTTTTTTTTTTTGGTTTACTTATGTAATCGTTTGTGCAGATTCAACCAGAGCTTGCGTTAGGGAACAATGTGTTGATTGCTGCTCATGGGAACTCGTTGCGGTCTATCATTATGTATCTTGACAAATTAACTTCTCAAGAGGTAGCAAAACAAAAACACAGAATGATGAGTCTTCTTTATTGGTTTTGGAAAGAGCTTAATGTTTGGTTTGGTTCTTTAAGGTTACGAGTTTAGAGCTATCTACTGGTTTACCGTTACTCTACATCTTCAAAGACAGGAAGTTCATGAGACGAGGAAGCCCTGTTGGTCCTACAGAAGCTGGTGTCTATGCTTATACTAAGGTAAAACCAAACCAAACCGAATTAAGTGTTTTGTCTTATTTCTTTATTTTTATGGTTTATGAGTTTGCTGATGTAATGCTTCTTTGTTTCAGAGATTGGCACAATACAGACAGAAGCTTGATGAGACCCTTAACTAGTTTGTTCTTTTGTTTTGTCTTTTACTTTATGAAGAACAGTTCTTAAGATATGTATTAGATACACAAATCACGTTTCATTACATGTTATTTTTCAATCACTCAGAAGCCAATCCAAGTGAAAGTTTCTTACATTATGCTTTTTTAGATTCAGACATTAACGGTAAGAGGGAGCTCTGAGTCTCCAACGGTTAAGAAGTATTTTCCTTGTTCAACAACCATAACACCAACTTCATTAGCTCTGCTCAAATGCTCACAAACACCAATCTCAAACTCAACTTCACCCTTCTCTCCATTACTTAACACAATGCTCTTAAACCCTACAAGCTGTTTCTCCACTCGTGTCCCATCTTCTCCTCCTCTCTCGTGTCTCACAAACANTAACACCAACTTCATTAGCTCTGCTCAAATGCTCACAAACACCAATCTCAAACTCAACTTCACCCTTCTCTCCATTACTTAACACAATGCTCTTAAACCCTACAAGCTGTTTCTCCACTCGTGTCCCATCTTCTCCTCCTCTCTCGTGTCTCACAAACATCAGCACAGGATGTTTCCCAGCCATCTCTCCTTGATTCTCAACCACAACACTCACCTTAGTCTTGGCTACATCGCAGCTTTCTTTTCCCATTTCTGAAACCAGAGCGTGATACCCAGATGGTGATGATCTCATCCTCATGTCTGTCATCTTCACATTCACAAAGTTCTGTGGATACCAAGTCACAGGTAATCTCCTGATAGGTTCCAGTTCGTAGGGAGAACAGAGCAATGTGGATGGAAGCGTGGGGGAGAAGAAACATATAAGTCAAGGATGGTTTACGTGGAAAGCAAAGACTCTGAGTGGAATAGAGTCTTTGCTCAAGACTTCATCATTGTTATATAAATAAGCCGATCGATGCTTCTTTCTAGGGGGCTTATGCTGAATGATGTTGTGAAATCTAGCTCCGTCACTATGAGACATCTTTTATCTTGAGTTTCTGTAATCGTTATCGAAGAGAGTACGTTGGATATTTCCATTTCATAATAATAACAAAAGTGAATTTGGGATTACAGAGAGCGAGAGATTGTGTGTTGATAAGGAGAGTTACAAACTTACTGAATGATGTAATCACGCAAAGATCGAGTCATTGGAAGAAGAAGTGAGGAAAGAGAGGTTAGCTTCTGATGAACTCAGAAGAAAATGTGAGGCACTTGAAGAAGAAGTCACTAACCTCCATCAAGAAAACGCTATAGAACCACCAAAGATAAAACAGGTCTCTCTCTCTATATATCTCTCTACATTAGTGTTGCTAAGAGTCTCAATTCTTTATCAAACTTTTTGATAATGCAAATTCAGGAAGACATGGCAACAGCTGCAGGGAAACTAGCAAACTGTCAGAAAACAATAGCTTCGTTGGGGAAACAGTTACAGTCTCTTGCAACACTTGAAGACTTCTTGGTTGATACAACGAGCATTCAAGTGGCTGCTACAAATGGTGTAAGCAGCAGCAGCAATACAGAGAGCTGGAGAGTACACAAGAATGATACTTACATGGCGAGGAATCATTTCGAGTCCATCAAAGCAAACAAAGAAACATCTTCTTCTGAAGCTGCTTAGACGCAAGTTTCATCAAACAGAGGAGGGAGTTCTGAGAAGAACCGGAATGGATTTGCTAAAGTATTCACTCGGAGTAAAGATGGGATACTTGTACTTTTCTCACAATAATATATCATCTTTTTTTTTGTATTTTTTAGAAATATTTGCTCTGTTGTAACCATATGGTACATTATCACTAGTGATAATTTCAGGTAAGAGGCCATTACATGTCCTTGAAATCTGAGTTTGTCCTCACAGAGGCATATGAGCCTTCTACTTTTATAGAATCTGTGGAGTGCCAAAAAAACACAAATGTTATGGTGATGCTTTGAAATATACAGACATCACACAACTGGGAGAGATTCTTAATGGATCCATGAAAGCCTATTTAGATAAAAGCCCAACAGGCCCATTTAGAGTTAAAACTCTGTTTAGTTAGTTATCTCTTCTTCTTCATCCGCCGGAACCTACCCGCCGTTTCGCCGGCGCTCTGATTCTAAACACAGATAACCTCTCCATGTGGAAGACCAAGACGATATCTAGCTTCATCAGCTCCCATCACGTCTACCTCTCATCAGCAACGACGCGACGGTACTCGAGAATCGCTCCGCCGCAACCGGCGGTTATCCGAGTAACAAACAACATATCACACTTAGGACCTCCAAAGACAGGACCTTTGCCACGTCAGCTCATGTGTTTACCTTCTTTCCCGGGTCATCCGTTACCCGCCAAAAACGGAGTTAAAGGAGATGACGGCCACGTCACGGCCATAAGCTGGGTTAAGTACTATTTTGAAGAAGTTCATGATAAGACTATTCAATCTCATTTCACAAAGGGCCTTGTGAGTCTCTTCTCCTGGTAACTCTTCTGAAAATATCAAAATCTCATTTTGGTTTAATACTCACAGAGGGGAATAATTATTTGCTTCTTTTGTTGGCAGGTTGAGATGGAGAAAGAAGATGGAGTTAGAGCTATGAGGAAGGTTAAAAGTTTTGATCTTTTTATTTGTTCTTGTTGTTGTTTTTTGGTGTGATTATTTTTCTTCTAGGGTTTGAGTTTGTTAGTAGTTGTACACAGGTTAAGCATAACGAGGTGATGCAAGTGGGAGATAGAATCTGGTTGCCTGTTTCAGTAGCTGAAAGTAGAATCTCTAAGAGGTTTGATACTATACCGAGTGGGACCTTGTATCCCAACGCAGACGAAATAGCTTATCTTCAGAGGCTTGTTAGGTTTAAGGTAACATATTGTGGTTAAGCTCTTACAGAGATTGGTTCGTTTTGGTTTTAACATTTTTTTTGTTTGATGCAGGATTCTGCTATTATAGTTCTTAATAAGCCACCCAAGCTTCCTGTGAAGGTAATAGAGTTTCATGGAAGTAAGCTAAGCTGTTACATTGTGTTTTTGATTGATCAATCATTTATCGTTGTTTGTTATCAGGGGAGTGTGCCTATACATAACAGCATGGATGTGCTTGCAGCTGCAGCTTTGTCTTATGGTAACGATGAAGGTCCTAGATTGGTAAACTCACATATTCTGAGTACTGCCGTTTAATTTGGAGAAGTTCTTTTTGTTTTTTTTTTTGTGAAATCTTATTTGAGTTTATGTGTCAGGTGCATCGTCTTGATAGGGAAACTAGTGGTCTCTTAGTAATGGGTCGAACCAAAGAAAGTATAGATCATCTTCACTCAGTGTTCAGTGATTTCAAAGGGAGAAACTCAAGGTGTAAGGTATGAACACTAACACACTACGGCCTAATAGGAAAAAGATTGAGCATAATGTTGTTAATATTGCATAATCGTAGGCTTGGAATATAGCATGTGAAGCGATGTATCAGAAATATTGGGCACTGGTGATTGGTTCGCCAAAAGACAAGGAAGGAATAGTTTCAGCTCCTCTTTCAAAGGTATCTTTCTCATTATACTTTCTGATGCCTGATTCAGGACAATGATTCGACGGAAAAAAACTCTGTTTAGGTGCTTCTGGATGATGGAAAAACAGACAGGGTGGTTTTAGCTCAAGGTTCATGCTTTGAAGCTTCACAAGAAGCAATAACAGAGTATAGAGTGTTAGGACCAATGATCAACGGATGTTCATGGTTAGAACTTCGTCCTATTACTAGCAGAAAGCATCAGGTACTTGACTATTTTCTGATCACTTTTTTTGTTTCTCCCTCTTGATGAACTAACCTTTCTTCTAAACAGCTACGAGTACACTGTGCTGAAGCTCTTGGCACTCCAATAGTAGGTGATTATAAGTACGGTTGGTTCATCCACAAGAGATGGAAACAGATGCCTCAAGTTGATATAGAACCAACCACTGGGAAACAGTATAAACTGCGTAGACCAGAAGGTCTTGATATCCAAAAGGGAAGCGTCTTATCTAAAGTTCCTTTGTTGCATCTGCATTGCCGTGAAATGGTACTTCCAAACATTGCCAAGTTTCTCCACGTCTTGAACCAACACGAAACAGAACCGCTTCGCCCAGGGATCATCAGCAAGCCGGATCTGTTGAGGTCTGTAGCTTCAATGCCTAGTCATATGAAGATCAGCTGGAACATCATGACTTCATATTTGGTGTAGCTTTTCTGATTCCTTCAATTATTAACTTGAGACAGTTTCTGTAATTCCCTCCTGTGCTGCAGTCATTTTGAGAATTTTTGTGTTGTACGTTATAATGTTTTTTATTTCCAACTTTGTCATAATGTTTGATTAATTTAAATATTTTTTTTTCTAGATTTATAGTGTATAAATACTTTTTGTTTAAAACTATATATTTTAAATCTATAGATTAATTTTCATTAGATTATTTTGATGCATATTTATACATCAAAAAAGATGTATAAATATATTTTAATATTATTTTATAAAGTAACAAACATATTTAAATGAAGAGAAAATTAAAGATTTATTTTGTTAAAGTTTGAAAAAATTAGTGGTTGTTCTTACCTATATGGGCTGTATTAAGCATATGTATTGGTACAGGCCGACAAGCAAACATTTGAAAGTTGATGGGCCTATTAGTTACATTTTTAATAATTCGACGTTACGAGCCACAATCAGTAACGTAGTAGAGTGGTCACGTGGCAGTTTTTAATTGGATAAGGTGTGTCACTACCCGGAAAATTACAATTCAACCACTGATGAGTGAAAATTTATTAATTTAGGAAAATACAGAAAAAAAAGAATATTCCGAAAGTTCTCTGAAAAGTCATCGGAGACAAAGACAGAGAAGGAGAGGCGAGAGCGAGTAAAGATGGGATATTCCGAAAGTTCTGATACTGCTTTGACGCAAGTTTCATCAAACAGAGGGAGTTCTGAGAAGAACCGAAATGGATTTGCTAAAGTATTCACTCGAAGTAAAGATGGGATACATTTGGTGATTTAACATAACTTTGGTGGTAGTAGCAAGAGAAACATCTGTTAGATTAAAAGAGCTAACACCTCTTTGTATGTTCCATTTGCAGATTTTGAATTGGTTCCGTAGTTTAATGATATAGTGTATGCAGAGGATCTTTGGTTAATGATTGATGTGTGTTTTTTCACAACTTGAATGATATGGTGTTACTATATATTTCAAAGTGAGTATGTTGCTATGTTGTGATGTCATGCCTACATGATATAACTATAAAGTTCAATGCATTTGAGTACACAACCTGGTTCTATGGTGTAGTGGTTAGCACTCTGGACTTTGAATCCAGCGACCTGGGTTCGACTCCCGGTAGGACCTTATTTTTGTTCTTCATCATTTTCTTTGTTTGCATGTTTTTCATCCAGCTTCGTAATCAACGGACAACTGTGTGTGTGTGATTGTTATGCATGAAACGTTATCCCAAGAAACCCATTATTTGAAGCCTCTAGTTTAATAAGAGGATCTCATGTCTAGCATCTGAACAAGACTCGTTTACATTACTGTTAATGTTGTTTAATTTGTCAATCGTGTGATCTTCAAATCTTTTAGTTAAAATCTGTCTAACTCTGTAACAACAATGTCTTTATATGACAAAATAATCATCGGTTGTAAATGTAATTAAAAATCTGGCAAAGAAAAACACAAACACATTTCCACAATGATCATTATTATAGTTATTACAACTCGTAGACATACAAGGAGAAAAAAAAAAAGAGCAATCGAAGACAACAAAACTATTATTTATCACACACAATTAAAATTTTATTGTTTTATACTTTTTATTCTTTGATAGATATAAAACATATATGATTTAATTGGTCCAAAGTCTTCATGAGTAGAGTGAGAACTTTATAATCTATTTGTGAAACTCAAAAAGAGAGAACGAAAAGGAACGGCAAATGAACTCACAACGACGAAAGCCTGAAGCGTAAGCTAAAGCCTCGAATTGAGAAAGAGTCCTTTCTCCACCACTCCCACGTAGTGATAACATGAACATGTCCACAGTGAGTCCAATGTTTGAAGAATAGTCATCACTCTTTGGTTCTTTTGGCATAACCATTTCTACGACTATCACTTTTCCTTTCTCTGGAAGACTCGACCAACAGTTTTTGAGGATTTTGATACAGTTCTCGTCGTCCCAAGCATGTAACACCCACTGTTATCAATTTAAACCATTTTATTTTGATAAAACAATATATTAGACCTTCATAATTGATATATACAAATACACATATATGTGCTTACCTTCATGAAAATAGCATCTCCCTTTGGAACTTCAACAAGCATGTCTCCAGCCACATTTTGCACTCCTACAACATTTATAGTAATTAGAAAAATACTTTAGGATGCCAGTGAAACATATTCTTGTTGATCCAAAGCATACACGAAAATATTTTACCAAAGTTTCCAAACATATTTTAGAGTTTTTCCTCTTTATATATACTATTTTGTCATAATTTTCTTTACATTATCTAAAGAATTTGACCTACTAAATATATACTATATAACAAATTTGTATATTAGTATCAGTTAATATATATAAAAACTATAGATCATGTTAATTTTTATATAATTTGTTGACCTGGATAAGGAGTGGCATTGGCTACAACCGATGCTAAATCGAAGTTGATGCCTTTAATATGAGGATACATGGAAGTCACCAAACCTAGTACTGTTCCAACTCCTCCACCAACATCCACCAAAGTAGTAACATCTTCGAATCCTTTGTAAACTTCTAGAATCTTTTTCATGACCAGGGTTGAAGATTCCGACATTGCTAGATTAAACATGTCTGCGAATTGTTCATCCGAACCCAAGTATTCAAAGGCTCTCATGCCATGGGCAGAAACAAATGCATCTTTTCCTTCTAATATCACATCCTTGAGATGTGACCTGTGTAAGAAAATATTAGTTACGAATAATGTAAAAGGATTTAACGTAATAACTACTTGTATAACGTACAAAGCCTTGAATATGACATGATTCTGGCACAACATGAAGAAAGACAAGAGAGAACCCGAGCCATCTCTATCTTTCAAGAACAACTTGCAAACCGGTTCGGCTGCGTAAACCCTTTCGGTCTTTCCGGTTTCAACCACACGACATTTCAAGAGCGAGTGGCTAGCGAGTAAGCGCAACATCCGGTCCAGTAGCATTGGAGCCTCCGGGTTGGTGGGTTTGGTAGGGAGACGAGACACTATCTCGGAAGGCGAGAGCCACATGCCGTCCTCAAAGGAAGTGATCGTGTCGATGACTCCTAGCTCCAAGGCAGCTTTGAAAACCATTGGGAATGTCAAGGAGTACACCATCCTCTGGGCTTGCAAGGCAACCATTTCTTGAGAATCTTCTTCTTTGGTCAGAACCGGTTTAGGAGAGTTGGTTAAGGGTTTAAGCAGTTGGTTTGCCATTATTTGTTGTTGGTTGAAAACGGTAGATGATAGATAGATAGACAACAATTAGAGAAATGGGAAAGAGAAGTTTGGGTTCTACATTCATGCTATTATGCCATTTTATAGTGGACAGTGAAGGTAAACTAATTTATTTTTTTCTGTTATACAAGTCAATAAAGGTGAGAATATTTTGTGTTATAAATTGTGTAAGCTCATGTAATTTTTGGTATGTAACTTTTGAGTAAACAGATAGACACAAGAGACTGATTCAAGATTCTCGCTTATGTGACATGCATTAAGACGCGTGTACGTGTAGACTGTAGTCAAATAGAAATTAAAGTTACTTATGAACATGCGTATGTATATTAAAAAGTTGAGAACCTTCCTTTCAGTGAACAAAAAAATGAATTTTCTTTATTCCCTTGCTAAAACAATACATTAATATTTTGTTTTGAACACGGAACAAAACCTCAAATTAGCATAAGACACAATGTCTCAGTTGCAAACATAAGCAGTAGACTGATCCATCTTCTATGTTCATATATATATACACATGCATGCAAAATATATGCTTACTTTCATGAAAATAGCATCTCCCTTTGGAACTTCACTAAGCATATCTCCAGCCACATGTTGCACTCCTATAATAAGTAACAAGTTTGTATATTAGCATAAATTCAATATACAAACTATACGTCATGTTATTATTTAATTTGATTACCAGGATAGGGAGGAGCATTGGCTATAACCGATGCCAAATCGAAATTGATGCCCTTAATATGAGGAAACTTGGAAGTGACTAGACCTAGTACGGTTTCAACTCCTCCACCAACATCCACCAAAGTGTTAACATCTTCAAATCCTTTGTAAACTTCTAGAATCTTCTTCATGACCAAGGTTGAAGATTCCGACATCGCTAGGTTAAACATCTCAGCGAAATTTTCATCCGAACCCAAGTATTCAAAGGCTCTCATGCCAGTTTAAGAAAACTAACTAGGAAATTTGGAAATTGTAACATTTATAGTTGTCTATTAAAATAAAGTATTTGTACTTTGTTATTTATCCTTTTTCTTTTATATAATGAATATAATATATCAAATAGAAAATAACTAGAATAAATCTAAAAAAGTTTTTATCATAAATATAGACTTTAACAATAAAAATGATCAAAATCACTTAAAGTTTTATTAAATATACATTTATACATTTTGGGTTAACTAATCCTAGATTTTTTTGTTTAGAGTTGAGGAGTGGAGTTTTGAGAATAGAATTTCAAAATTTTTTAAAAAAAAAAAAAACTTAAAATTTTCAAATAAAAAGTATTATTTTGGTCATTTAATATTTGAGGTCTATTTTGTGATAAAAACTTAAAGGAGTAATATTTGAGAGAATTATCCTATATCAAAAGAGAAGTTATGATTCTTTTAATGTGTGATAGTTTAAAGTGGACAATCTTTTAAAATGAAAATATGCAGGTATCGGATAAGCCCAACAAGAGACCTAGTATCAATTTGGCCCAAATAATGTCAAGTATTCGGCCCAAAATACCAACCGACGTCGTTTATTTAACCCGACGTATAAACACCCCTGAGGTTTTCTCGAACATTTGCATCGTGCATCGCTCTCCCGAGAGAGCCGACGAGTACATCCGAAAGCTTTACGCCGAGTTGGACAGTGTACGCGCCAAGGCTGATGCTGCTTCCATCACGGCGACGTGCTCGCTTCTCGAGCAGAAGTACCTCTCGCTCTCTCACGATTTCTCCTCGCTCGAATCTCATTTTGAATTGTTAACTTGGTTAAAGATAGTTCAGTCAAAAACAAACTTGGTTAAAGATAGTCTTTACACAGAAGTTAATTATAGATTGAGCTTTCAGTAGAGAGGGATTAACAAGGACGGAGGTTTTCATAAATGATCATGCATGTGTCTAAAGAGAAGTATGAGGCAAGAGCTGTTGGCTACCATGTTTTATAATAGTAGAATACTAGGATAAGACCCGCGCCTTGCGCGGGATGAAGTTATTATTTTTATTATGTTTTGAAAAATGAAACAATAGTTCGGTTTCATTCGGATTAGAGGTGTTCAATCCGGATATCGGGTTTCGGTTCGGCTCGATTTTTTGGTATTTCAATCATTAAAATATAACTAATATTCTAAATCTATATGTACTTCAGTTTGATTTGGTTTATATCCCATCGGTTTTCAGATTATTCAATTTTATACCAAAAAATATAATTATTTAGTTTGAGATCATATTATATATTATACAAATATATAATATGATCATATTTAGAGTCATATTGTCACAGAGTCATTTATTAAAAAAATATTATATATTTAAATAAAAGATAAAAACAAAAAGACTTCTATCATCTAATAAAATGATCAAATCTAGAATTAATATCAAAACACTAAATTTTGAAAATAAAAATAAAAAACAAAACAGAAGCATGAAAGAAAAGTTTTTATATTCTTCCATATTTAGTGTTCATCAAACCAATATGTCTTCGATTGAACATAACTCTGTTTGTTTAAAGATTAATTAAAAAAAGTTGTAAAGAATTTCAACAAATTGTTGTCCATCAAATTTATAATCTTTACTTAAATTTAGTTACTGTTAAAAAAGTAAAAGATCAAAATAAGAAGTATCAGTTGTAATAAATTGTTAGCTATTTACAAATTATAATTATAGTTCAACTCATGTAACAAATAGATATTCATGCGTCGTTATAAATATATACATATTTACATGTTTCAGTTTAATCGGTTATAAATCAAACCATATCCAAATCCTATGGTTTTTATAAAATCACATCCACTCGGTTTGTATGGTATATACCAAAAATAACCATATTATCGATTGTTAATATATTTTTAAAATATAAAATTAAAAAAAGAACTAAGATATTTAAATCATTGATAACAAAATTTTTCAATGTGAAAAATTTAATAATTTTATAATTTATAAATGTTCTTGAAAATTTATTGGAAATTTTGAAATTAAAATATTTATGTAATCTTATATGGTATATAGTTTAATCTGTATATATATATATATATATTTGTTTTATTATTGAATGATAATTTTACTTATATGGTTTTAAAATCATGTATATCTTTTTATAATAAAAATGTTAAACTATTGATCATTAATTTTCAACATAATAAATTTAATAGTTTAGTTATTTATTCTCCTTTTTTAAAATGCAAAATATAACCTATACGAAAAAATATAAAGTTTAGTTTATAGCTAATTTGATTGTTTAATTTATTTTAATAATATAAAATTAAAGAAAAATGATGGAGGATATATAAACTATTATCAAATATTTATTATTAGAATCATTAAGTGTCATATATATATATTAGCCATTTATGGTAATTCCGTAGGTTTTCTTTATGGAAATAAAATAAAATAGTAATTATATCTAGGGGAACAATCATTAAGTGTCATATATACATATTAGTCATTTATGGTAATTCCGTAGGTTTTATTTATGGAAAGAAAATAAAATAGTAATTATATCTAGGGGAACAATCATAAATGCTTATATCATAAATATCATATCATATCATCATATAATATAATTTTACCAACGAATATATCTATCGACATATAAAAATCGAATGTGGACCTACTAATTTTTCAATTGAATGTAATTGACTACCTAATTGACTGACACCTAAGCATGAGGTCCTTTTTAATTATTACAAAATTGAGGTTACAATTTTTTAAATGTTTCTCCTTTAATATATAAGGGATGTGCCATATATGTGTTAATGTGTCGTGTTTGTTTTGTATGAGGGGACAAGATATGAGAAGTTGTCCCGTTACTCTTGGGTTCTACTTCTAATTTTCTATATTCAGAAATTATTAGTCTAAGTAGGAATAAGACTACAGTAAAACTTCTATAAATTAATAATGTTGGGACTTTGAAATTTTATTAATTTATAGAGATATTAATTTACGAAAGTTTCATTTTTTAGATTTTTTTTCTATTTTTATTTCTAAAATAAAAATATTTGATTTTAGCATATGTACATTATTTAAATTTTAAAAAATTTGAGTTTTATATTGTTTTATTATCTTATTTGGTGTATATTTTTATGTTTCATAGAATTGTTACATGGTTTTCGATGTAATTTAACTAAATATTATCAAAATATATTAAAATGTTTAAAAAATAAAAGTATTTTTATAGTAAATATAAAATCCCTAACTAAATATTATCAAAATATACTGAAATGTTTAAAAAAATAAGAGTATTTCTATAGTAAATATAAAACCAACAATATAATGTTAGATTGTAGCTAGATTATTAATTTATGATTTTAGTGGGACCATATATTTACATGGAAGTTTTTAAAATATTATTATCTTATTATTTTATCGATTTGTGTCATATTTTACACCGGCCCAAGTTGGGACCGATGAAATTTATTAATTTATAGAGATTATTAATTTATCGAGTATTAATTTATAGAGGTTCTACTGTATATGGAGTACACGTGCAAATATGCTTTCCATTAAATTTTATATTTGTCTAATCCAGTTGGACAATAAATGTTATTGATCCTTATCCCCTATATATTATTTGACAATCATTTAAAAAGTTGTAACGTTAAGTTTGTAAAAATTAAAAATAACCTCAATCCTATGTGGCATAGCTATTTGACTTCTATTTCAAATCCCAAGAATTCTAGAACATGTGATATAATGTATAGTCTAAAAATTATATTCTCTAGCAATATAATATATCGTAAACTATAGTTGGTCGCATATATCAAATATTTATTGTTTCGCATACTTTCCTTAAATAAAACATACGGAATTACCTGTGATTAAAATTATATGACAATTAATGATTTAAACAATAAAGATTTGATAACAATCTCTATACTTTTTCTCATTTTGTTTATTTATTTATTATTAAAATAAATTACACAATTACATTAATCATATAATAAAAATCTAGTTTTTCTTTTGTGTATGTTGTATTTCGAAGTTTTCAAAATGAGT